CAGGGATGTGGCGGAGGCCTGTGGTAGGCGTGAGATGCACACCTGGTGAATCACAGCGTTCAAAGCCTGCTCTGAGGATTACATTTCTGAAGAAAAACTGGCTTACGTATTAAAAATTAGGTCCCTTTCCAAAGCAGAAGAGAGGAAGAAGAAAGGAAGGAGGGAAGGAAAGGGAGAGAGGGAGAGAAAGAGGATGGAAAGAAGGAAGGAAAGAAGGGCCTACATGCTGTCCTACAATGGACTTACTTAGATTTTGTGGATTTTGATTGTTTTTTGATTTGTTTGTGTTTGTTTGTTTGTTTTAAAGGAACAAGTACTTGAGCCAGTTCCAAGGCAGCTCCAAAGGTTTCTACTTGTCACATTTCTAGTCTGAGCTGAAAGCCTTCCAGGGTTACACAACAATGACTAAAACTGGAAACCTTTCAGGCCATTTCCAAAAGGCAGCAGGAAACTGAGGTGATTGCTAAACCAATGCTAGAGAGACATCCACGTCCATGTGTGTGGAGTTAGAGTGAGAGTACCCGGTTTCATTTGGAGGTTTCAAGTTGTTTTCCTTTTGATTTAATCTCATTCTCAGAACAGAATTATTCTGGAACCAAGATCTTCACATTGTTTTGCTTAATGTTTTACAAACAAGCTGTTGACTGAAGTTGTCACCGAACAAAAATTTGCCCCTACTTGTTTACATAATGGGAAAATACAGTCATAAACCAGGTTTAACAACAACTCGTTAGGTATTAGGTTAAGGTGCAATATAGGGATTATCCTCATAAAACGCTACACCCTGAACTCACGACAAAATTGAGAATTACATTTACTGAAAAGCTTTAAAAACCTCTAAGTCTAAACTGGATGCTTAAAGCTTTTAAGTTACTACTGTTCTGAGTTGATGAAAATCAGGTTCAAGTTCTTTAGGTACAGCTGCTTTATTCAAGAGGAACTAGACTAAGACGATAAATATGATAAAGGCTTGCTTCTGCTGGTGTTTGCTTTGTTGTAGCTCCTCATGGGGTGTAATCAGGTATTGAGTTTGTCCCTAGTTCTGCCACTGTACTACTTTGTGGCCTTTTAAATATAGCAATTCATTTACTTTTCTCCCATATCTCACTGGGGTGAGATATTTGTGATAATACCAGTTTGGGGGATCCGTATATACAAACACAGAGCTGTAAAGCAGTTGTGTATTTCAGTATCCAGCACAGTCGGTCCTACCCTTGGCTCAGGTAATCAAGAATACATGCTGATTTTCTGAACTCTGAGACCAATAAGTATAGAAGAACTTCTGAACCTTCTCTGGCATTTACTCTAATGAAATTTTTGAGATTTCTCTATTTCTGTCTTCATTCTATCCTATACAGTTTCACTGCTCTGTTTTTACCTCTGATAAGTTTGTATTTTGGGGAAAATAAGCTTATAAAGATGGTTACCAAAACTGCTTTAAATTTCAACATGCTTCCTGCTCTGAACAACAGAATAGTATGCAAGAGGAGGCTTAAGATGTGTATAAACATGCCCAGAAACAAAAGAAAGAAAAAAAAACAAACCACACACACACCAAAAAAAAAAAAAAAAAAAAAAAAAAAAAAAGAACAGAAAGAACAGAAAGTAAAAGCAAGACAAAAAAAAAGGGCAAGGGTTTGTGATTGTAAGAGGAAGGTGAAAACACTTCCTGGCAACATCTGAGAATCATTTGCAGCAACTGATCCATGAGCGTTAGTGAGCAGAGAATGTTTTTAAATCCTCCCCCATACCCTTTGTTAATCTTTACCAGGTAGTAGGACCTTTAATGTGATTCATACGGGTTTCTTGGGATGTGTAAAATATTTTGTCCATTTTGAAAAAATAAGAGTTTTGAAACAGCTCCAAGATTTAGGTTCATAAGTCTGGTTACAAGTCTGTGGTCTTCTCCCCTTTAAAATTTGGTAATAATAATAGTCTTCAGACAGCTCTGCGAAAGGCAGCATGTCTCAGTAGAGTGAGCAATGAACATCTGGCTCCACAGCCTCACTGCTTCTCATTTGAAGTAGGAAAATCACGTGCCTTTTAAAAAGTGTCCCCATGAATGAAGTACTGATCGTAATACAAGCTTACATAATTCAGAAACATTGAAGGATGTTTTTTTAAACTTAAATGTTCTGAGCAACATTAGACAATATAAAAGAGTTATTAATTATGATGCATGATTATTATTGCACTCAGGAGACTTTAAGAGGTAGCCTGGAAAAGTTAAGATTTGGCTCACCTTTAAGCACACCCAAAATACTGGGCAACATTTGTAGATGTTTTTGAGTGACTGAGGAGGCTATTTCCTAAGACTTTCAAGCACATTTGGGATTTTAGGTCATTTGGGGCACGTCTCCACTGTGTAATGCCAAATGGCTCTGAGCAAGCCAATTTTCGACACGACGGAGAAAGATTAACTCAGATCCTGAGAGCAATATATGTGGTAGTTTTCCTCTGCACCGATTCTGTTCCACTCCATCCAGCTCCAGGGCTAGCTTATTTGGTCCTGTTTTAAAAGGCTCAGCATCACATCCCTGTGTTATTATAGATATACTCTTAACTGTTTTACAAAATCCAGTCCAGCATCTAACTGCACAGCTTCATTTGCACCAGTCAAGTCCCCATCACAGACACTCACCAGATTATATGTTACCGCAACCTGTACTTAGGAGACACCCTAAGTGGGGTCAGAGTTCCCGATGCAAAAGTGCTCTCCGGTGTGTCACAGACTGCCATAAAAATCAGAATGGACTTTTCCACATAGCTGTATGTGTGACAGTCTCTCATTGTTGCCAGCACCAGCAAAATTTGAAGATGGTGCCAGCAAAACACCACTTTTAAAATATGATTATTTGCTGATGGCAACAGCAGATGGTGGAATCAACTCAGTAGCCTTTTTTTTTTTTTTGTGAACTGGTTAGTCTGTTTTAGAGTCCCAAGGTGTTTGTGAGTATTTTCAAGGAACTCTATTTTGAATCAGTTAATAAGAAAAACAGTATAACCCTAAGTATGTTTTTTGTTTAAGATTATATTGGCTCCTGATTACAATTTACTTCATTTTCACACCTCACATTATGAGGTTCTTAAAAAAATAAATCAACAGTTTCCAGTTTTTGTTTGTTGTTAAATATGACTTATAAAATGTTAGGTCAAGAGTCGTCAATGGACTAGGCTACAGTGTTTGTTTAAAGCTATGAGTAAAGCAAGTCATATGAATGTTTCCAAAGACTGTATTCCAAGAAGTATTTTTGGAAACATTAATGTTGTGTTTTTTAATGAAGGCCACATTCTGAGGCTACGACACCATATGTCACATTCATTTCTGTGCTGAAAAAAAAAAAAAAAAGAAAGAAAGAAAGAAAAAAGAAAAGAAAAAAGAAATGGAAACTATGTTTGGCTTTTAAGTGTTTTTGGAATAGTGTCTTTGCATGCTTGTCATTGTTCCTTGGATGGGAGAAGAGTTCTAGGTCTGTTAATCTAGTCCATCCAATATATATTACACTCCGTGGGCCTGACTCTCTTCTGCCTTAAACTGTGTGCAGTCATTTATACCGAAGCAAAGTGAATGAAGAGCTGAGAAAAAAGACTACCACTGGGAAACATTTTTGTAAATTCATTTTCCATGAATATGTTGGCTTCATTGTAAACCTACATCTGAACTTTTGTCAGATGAAACCAGCTTAAAAATGGGAAAAGTACTTGCCATTTTTCCATTGAAAGCTTACAATTTTGGAGAATAATGACAGCTTTTCCTCAAAAAAATGCCTTTTTTTTTTTTTTTTTTTCAAAAATATTAGTTAAAAGCAAGACCTTTGGCAAAAATTTTGAATTGCTCTAGCTATATACTCTATCACTTCTGATTTTTCAGTGTTTTCTGTGTTAGGGGTTGGGATATAGTAGAATGAGTTGGAGACCTGTAGGAAAAGGCATTTACTTTTCTCTGTGCTGTATCCTACACATAATTCGTAAGCATCCTGTATCTGGTTACTTCAGCTAAGTCTTTGCTTTTGTATTGGATTTCAATTGATGAGGTCTCAGTTTCTAACATAAGTTCTTATTATTAGTCACTAAACATATAGCCAAGCACTTCATACTGCTGAAGTTCATATGGTTGCAATCTGCAAATACACCCATTATTTTCTCTGATCTGACAGAGGAATCTCCTAATTCACATCGCTTCCTAAATTTGTGTTATCCACAAATTTTATTAGCATACTGCATGTTTGTTTCAAATTCATTAATAAAAATGTAAATACTTTCTGCCAGATTGATTTTTTTTTTGTTTTGTTTTGTTTTAAGGAATTATTTGTGAGGGTTTCCAGGACCTCAGAGAGGTTTCTTTTTCATTTGAAATGTAAATACTTTTCTACAAATTGAACAAATATGTCTCTGAAGCACTAGCTCAGTAAAATTCAGTTCCATGACTAGGTTTTTCTGGGCAATACTCAAATGCAAGTAATGATGAATGACTGTGTGATCAATACATTTTCTGGTGAAAACACATTAGCACTGAATTCGTCTGTCCATGCCACTGAAGTCTCATGGATAAATGAGGGTGTTTTCCTAGGCACTTCTTCAAATGGAGGAAAACAAACAAACATGCAACAAACAGGAACAATTGACTACCTCAAATATTTGGCTAACTTTAAGAGAGCTCATGCCATTCTTGTGAGTGTTTCGTGAAAGCCCATACCGATTTGAATCCTTCTTCACCAGAGTATTAGAAGAGATACTCACAGCGGGGTCCCCACAAAGGCTTTTGGTTTCTGTTTTTATCTAGGTAACAAATTTTAAGATTGATATGGACGTTTCTAGCTTGTTGATTTTCTAGCTAAATTTCTAAGTTTTTGAGCTATGTTGTGTAATGAATGTCAGGGTCTGTGCTCTTCAGAAAATTGCTCATGATGGCCACAGAGTGTGTATATTTAGTTTTGGTTTTACAGAGTTCTGGCATACGAAATTAAAAACAAAAATAAACTTTTTCTTTTATTTCATAGATTCCCAATGAACAAAGAAAACAAATAGCCCCTGGGACCACAAGTGTGTTCTGTAAACTGATGCCACGAGGCAGACATGAGAAAGATGACTGAACAGAGTGGTTGCTATAGGCCTGTGAACATACAGGGAAATAAGATCAGTTACAAAGGGTCTTGTAAAGACAGCCCTGAAACGGGGACGAAAAGACTGCAGAAGCGATTTCTTCACAAAGATGGCAGCTGCAATGTGTACTTCAAACACATCTTTGGGGAATGGGAGAGCTACGTAGTGGACATATTTACTACACTGGTGGACATCAAGTGGCGCCATATGTTTGTGATATTCTCGCTGTCCTATGTTCTTTCGTGGCTGTTCTTTGGACTGGTTTTCTGGCTGATAGCAATCCAACACGGAGATTTATTCAGTGACGAAGAAGTAACACCCTGTGTTGCAAACGTCCGTAGCTTCACAGGAGCATTCCTGTTCTCCCTGGAAACCCAGACGACCATTGGGTATGGTTACCGCTGTGTTACGGAGGAGTGCTCTGTCGCGATCCTTATGGTTATCCTGCAGTCCGTACTGAGCTGCATTATCGACACCTTCATAATTGGAGCAGCCTTGGCTAAAATGGCCACAGCGCGAAAAAGAGCTCAGACCATTCGTTTCAGCTACTATGCTGTCGTGGGCTTACGGGATGACAAATTTTGCCTGATGTGGCGCATTGGTGATTTCCGACCAAACCACATGGTTGAGGGCTCAGTACGAGCTCAGCTGCTGCGCTACAAGGAAGACAAGGAAGGGAGAATGACGATGGAGTACAAGGACTTGAAGCTGCTGAATGACCAGATCATACTCGTTACACCAGTGACGGTAGTACATGAAATTGATAGTGAGAGCCCCTTGTATGGTCTGGACCGGAAAGCTTTGGCCAAGGACAACTTTGAAATCTTGGTCACGTTTGTCTACACAGGTGATTCAACGGGAACTTCCCATCAGTCCCGAAGCTCATACGTGCCCAGAGAGATTCTTTGGGGCTATAGGTTTAATGACGTCTTACATGTAAAGAAAAAGTACTATAAAGTGGATTGCCTACAGTTTGAAGAAACCACAGAAGTTTATGCTCCTCACTGCAGTGCCATGCAACTGGATCGGAAAGAGCAAGAATGGAACCGAACAGAGAAGACATTGGAAAAAGAAGCAGAGACGTCAGCACTGGAGATCAAGTCCCTTAGTACAAACCAGAAGTCATTTAATGCAGTTGCCCTCATCACCAGCTGTGAAGATCCAGAAGACCCAGTGACAACTGTCTGTCAGCCTTCTGGAGAGGTTTCTTATCAGAAAGCAGCTGTGACCTTAAGTAGACTGTCACTGGAATCACAAATCTAGATTTTCACTGCAATTAAAAACATTTCCAACAACAATGAACTCATATGCACAACTATTTACATTATAAACCTCGTACTGACAGCATGCCTACATTACAACACAGTGCTGAGCTTCACAATGGTTAGCGGGGGTATCAGTAACAGATTAGTACTGGCACAAGAAAGCAGCTTACATTTGGGTTGACTAGACAGCTACTGTACTTGAGCAAACTTAGTCTAAACTTTATTACCCTGCAGGGACCAATGTTGGAGATGCCCAGAGATAGAAAACGATCCAGGCAGAGAACAAGAACAAGGAAGCTTGCCCTCTGGGTCATGTTTTTTAATACTGCCTGATTTATTTGGAAGGCCAGTTCCCAATACCTCCAGAAGGCTCTGAAATGCCCCCACCATCACAGCAAATGATTGCTTGTGTGCCAGCTGCACCTCTCTAGTGGTTCAAATGAAACCCCTGTCTTGAGGTTACATTGGTGAGTCTGAGGGGCTGTTCTTTGCAGGAGGGAGCAAACTGGCAAGAATAACTGAACCCAGTGCTACTGGGTAGCTTTGGAAACCTGCTGACACCCTGCCCAGGGCTGTGAGTGGGATCTCGGCGAGCTTTTCTCATTTCCTTGTCGTGAGCCATTCCCAGAAATGCCACTCCCTCCGCAGTTTGAGGTATGCAGTGCGTCAGCTGGCTTGGTGCTGCGTGGAGATTTTGTTATGTGGCTCTGATGGCTAGGAGGGTTGGCCAAACTGGCTCATCTGCACCATTCAGAAACCAAAATGGGACCTCAAGTTTGAAACCAAAATCACCAAAATCATATTAAGCCTTGGAGAAAAGATCACCCTGTTTTTAGAGTGAGCTTAGCAATTTTTTATTTTTTTTATTTTTTTTATCAAAATGTCTTTTCATTTCAGAATGTCAGCTTTGCTTTTCGTTTTAGTCCATTATGCTTCTTTAAAAGGAAAAGGATCAATCTGGAGACCAAACAGCATAATTTTGTCAAAATGAAATATTTTTATTCTTCTGAAATGACTGTAAAAATGATCCTTTACAGAGAAATTCTACATACTCAGCTGTCAGCTCAATTTGGAAAAACAGGGAAAATGTCAATGTTTAGAAGTTGCCTATGACATGGAATTTCCATGCTCTGCACATCGCTGTCATTATCTCATCATGTTTCCCCCCCCCCCCCCCCCGATGATTGCAGTTAATTTGCATCATGTTTAATTATCACGCTAACCTAAAAATATTTATCTCTGAATTTGTGGTTGCCTTAAATGGAATTTATCTCACCTGACCTCAGCCAGCAAGAAGTGTCAAGGCTGGTCAAGGCTCTCCGTGACTGCTGTAACTTTTTCTCTGTCTTCACAGGGGAGTTCATCCCATCCTAATCTGCGTGTTTAGGGAGCTGAAGGCAATAGGATGGTCTTATCCTGGAACTGCTCATCCCTCTCTGCTTATTGTTTTCTGAAATGCTGGCTAACATTAAGCTGCTAAAATTAGGTCTGACGAGTCATTCACATCATGCTGACTAATTCAAAGTTTTTATGAGCTAATCACATTTAATGAAAAGAAAACCAACATGCTGATTGTTTTATTTTCCTTTTGTGAAACTTACTGCATATAGTAGTATCACTGCATTATTTTAATGTATCTTGCATTTCTCTTTTTTTGCTAGCACTTGTGTTCTGGATCCTATGTGATCCCTTTAGATAAAACCAAATATATTAACAAGCCTGAGGGGAGGTAGCTATTCCTAAGCTCATTAATTAGCCTATTTTATATGCTGAATCATCACCACCATCAGTCCATAACTGCAGTAGAAAACATCTCATTGTATCCTAGATTTGAGCACCAGCAAGCATTGGGGAAATAGTCTAAAAATGGGAAGAAATTCAGTGGGAAAATGTGTAAGGTTCTCAGTATTTATATGGTATTGCAAAAATACCATCAGGTTGTATAAAATAGAATATAGCCATTGAGACATGTGAAGTCATCCTTCCACACTCTGTCTTTGAAAGCTCTTGGCTGGGTACTTGATTCAGTGTTGGGCACCGCACTTTGGGAAAGACATGGAAAAAATGAATCCAGAGATACTGAAAATATATCAGTAAGGAAGTAGGGAAATAATTGAAGGGCTTTCAGTCCAAAGAAGACAGAAGGGAATTAGGAAAAAGAGTTCTCAAACATTGCAAATCAAGAGAGAGGAATGATCTGTTCTCTTTATCTGGTGGGTAGGACGGGAGGACATGGGCTTAAACTGAAGCCAAAGAGATTGAAGTTAGACATTAGTAGAAACTACCTTAAAGAAGGCAAAGCACAGGACAGATCTGTGGGGTGTATAATTTTGGTGCTGGTGCCTCTCAGGAGTTTGTTAGGTGGCTGTCAGGAGTGATACAGAATGGTCAGGTTTGCCTTGAACTTTCAAACCCCGTTTTTGTACGACCCTATGATTTTCAGAAAAAGGGAATGTTTAATATGAAGTCTGCATAACTAGGTCACTTTACAAGTACTTACACATGTGTGAGTATTTGCTTAATTACATAGGTAAAGCTACTCAGAGATCTGAGATATTACTGAGATATGTAACCAGAATTCCCAAAGTATCTTCAAAAGGTACACATTTCAGGTGTTGCTCGTAAAGGTAGTTTCCCTTATTAAGCTGTGAATATCAGCTGCCTTTCCCTCTCCCAGTTATGTACCGTGTGAGCCTCTTGCGGTGAAGAAAATTCTTTCCTTGGAATGACTTTCCTGTAAGTGAAAGTACCAGGAGTCTGATTTAGCATTTGGTCACATGCTTCTTGGTATAGATAGATAGAAATACGTGCGTATGTATAGTAATGTATGCTTTGGCATATAAGTCAACCACTAACTGATGAGGGTCAGGAAGAAACTTTTCTCCTGGGCATGTTAATTCATAACAGGCTACGATACAGTTTCTTCTACTTTTATCTGCAGCATCTGATACCAGCCCGTGCTGGAGACAGGATACTATTTGAACCACTGGTCTCAACCCGTCTGGCTTTTTCTGGGTTTCTCTGTTTGATATTTTAATTTCATTTATCAGAGTATAAAAACTATGTGTTATAATATATAGTAAAGCATGCATTGCATTTTTATGAATAAAGACACAGAAATAAAGAACATGCCTCTGCCACACACCTTGTGAGAGCACATTTTACTTCTCTTCCACTCAGTCACTGTTTTAAGTTTCCGTATCTTATGCACTAAGAGGCAATGGAAAAATTTATAAGGCACAGAGTAGCCTTTTGACTTTAAAAGATGCCAAATCACGAGCAAATTCACAAAGTTGTAAGTACATTCTGTTGCAGTTTCTTAACATGAGCTCCGATGAATGGGGGCTCAAGACATCACAGCTTGCTGTTAGGTGTGAGCTCACAAAGCCCCTCTCGCAGATGTACACACACCCATGGCAGCCGGGTTCCGAGCTTGCAAGCTAACCGGCAATTTCCTCACCTGATGATGGATCTTTGACAGCACCAGCTGGGTGAGACGGGAATGAGGTGTGCAAGGCAGAGCCCACCGCACAAAGCCCCTGTATCTGGCACTTGGGCAGGGCCAGCCCACCTTGCCCAGGAGCGGGCCTAGAAGGGACACTTAATGTATGCTGGTGAACAGCAGTTTTGAGCAAGGAGGAGGAAGAACCTTCCTCATCCATCTGCTATTTCTAGATGAGGATGTATTCCAAGGATTTTTTGTTTGGTTTTCTTTTTATTCATCCCCATTGCAGAGCTGAGCAAGGTAAAAAGTTTTAAAAAAAAAAAAAAAGGCATGCAAGCCTCTCAGAAACCCATCAAAAGTAGTAACACGTGTCATCACAGCAGCAAAACAACCTAACCCCTGGCCCACCCCAAGGCAAGGTGCTGGGTGAGCTGGGTGCTGAGGTGAGGTACGAGCACCCTCCTGCATGCCCAGAGCTCTGCATATACTCCATGCATCTTCAGCAGCAAGGCAACGCGTTGGGTGGAAGCTCAGCGGCTGCTTCCCAGCCACCCAGGGCAGCAATTGGCTTTTCTTTCCATAGCTGGAAGTAGTTCACTCTGTTCTTGTCTTCTCCACAAAATTTACCAGATGAAGCAAAATTGTAACAACAAAGAGAAAACGCAAACCAGTTTGCATTGGACTCCTGTATCGTGATTATAGCTGCATCTCAGTTATTTTCTCTTGGAGAGTAAGAGTATTGTTCTGGGTCAAGATTAGTTTATGTCAAAGGGAATATAATAAGAGATTATTATATAATTTATTTTTCCAGATTTGCCTACCACCATTCATTAAGGCAGCTGGCATTTCCTTCCCCATTATCATGTATCATTATCATGTATCATTTAGTGCATATTTTATGTGAGGCTGATTTTCAGATGTGGGACATAATACATATCCCTTTGTTTATCCCTTGTTTCTCAAACACTGTGCAGGAGGTCTGACTCCAGCTGCCCGTCTAAGAAGAAGCGTCACATTTACACGGTTACTCGCAGTTCAGGCAATAACAGGTACCAGTGCTTGTGTGGGAAGAAAAAATTGTTTGTAAGCTTTTTTTAGCTCTGAAATCTTTGCTGGTTTTGAGCTGGGAACCTGCAAACAGGAAGAGTTGGTGTCTGTGGCTGGCCTCAGAGGCCTGTGTGGGGAGGCGACTGACAGCACCTTTGGTTCCAGGTTCCAGAGGGAGCGCGGCAGAAGTGAATATAAATGAAAAAATGAACATTCAGGGGTTAGGCTGGGCTGAAAAATGTGTGTCCACGTTTTCATGGGGCCTAAAATCACAACACCGGGGCAACTTTGTGAATTTAAACTGTTTATTGGGGTCAGTCCAAGGGGCTGAGGAGACGACTAAGGGGAAATCAGACAGACATCACGGGGGGGAAAAGGAAAACTGGATAACTCCTTTTTGACCTCCTGTTGCTCCCTAGAAAGCTAGGCTTTGTTGGCAGCCGTCATATCGCCTCCCATCAGCCAGCACAGGCTTCACGCTCTGCTTCCCTCGGTACACAAACGGGGTGCCAGAAGGGCCCAGGAGCTGCAGGGCCCAGGCTCTGGGACGAAGTTCTGGGGGGGTTCTGCGCCCCTACTCGGCCGGCTCCGGGCTCGTAGCCCCCGGCCCAGCACCCAGGGCCCAGGGCCCGGCGCCCACCTGCGCCCGGCGTCTCCCGGCCCCGCTCCGGCCGCGGCTCCGGCCGGGGCCCTCGGGCGCCACCTGCTGGGGGCCCACGGAGCCACCGCCGGCCCCCCCCCCCCCCCCGGTCCCTTCCCGGCCCCCGCCGGGGCCTCGCCTCAGCGGCTGGGGGCCGGGGGTGCAGAAGCACGGCGGGGGCCGGGCGTTCAGCCGCGGCCTGACCCTGGGGATCTGCCTCAGGGGGCCGCTTTTCGGTGCTGCCGAGGCAGCTGGAGTGGAAACGGTTCGGGTGTGCTGTCCCCAGTGGGGTCCCGGCTGTTCCTAAAGGGTGTGAGGAAAGGTGGCGTTAGCCTGTTGTCAGCCAGCCCCTGGTACTGCCCGACCATCCTAGGGAAGCCTGGGACAGGACTTTAAGGCTTCCCGAAGCTGCCCTGTGAGGCTCAGTAGAGTAAATCCAACTCAGAAAGTAAACGGTTTTGGTACAAAAACTGATACGACATGTGCTCCGTCCGGCTGATTTATTCTATATCATTCCTCTTTATATATAGAAGCAAAAGCTGAGAGGTTGCTTGATTTGCCAGCTTAGGTATATATAGCCAGTCAAAACTGGCCACGCTCCACTAGGAACTTTTCAAATAGGGCAATGATCTATTTGTGGCCAAAGATACTTATTTCAAGAGGTATCAGTGACAAGAAGCAAAGAGCTGCTTGTTTGTTTGGACCAGGGAACGTGTGTGCGTGTAGAAAGGCAACGCTACGTTTATTATGCAAAGCTACACACAGAAGGACTCCAAAATAGAAATGCCTTAATAATTATCTCATATTCAGTGCCATGTCCACTTCTGAACGCACATTTTCCATTGAACAGCTTCGTGCGTTCTCTCACGCATGGGAGTAGCTCCAATTAAACATCTGCTGAACCATCTATATCATCATTCTCCTTCACATCCTTTCTTCAAACCCTCCTTCGCAGCAGCGTGTGTAGGAAGCTCCACAACTGTCAGGCAGCTGGTCCGCTGCGACTACTGGGCATTGTATTTGTTCCTTGTGTTTCCCCATCTTTGATCACAGGGTGTCTCTCAGACTCGCCTGACAGGGCAGGAACTATTTTTGGTCTGACGTTCATTCGGCACGATTCCTGCTTAGCCCAGGTGCCAAAATGAGCTGACAGCCTGTATGTGACCATCGCACAAAACAGCAGTAGAGAGGAGACAGCCCCGAAGCCTCCCCAGTACTGCCACTTTGTGCTGTGCCTCAGGGCAGTGTCCGTACTGGGTGTCCAGCACACTGTCTGGGTGGAGTTGCCTTTTGGGTGTGTTGTTAATTTTTCAAATTTTGACCGATAAGTGTTTCATTGTGATAGGCATGCCCTAAGTGGGGTGTGAAAAATAAGGCTTATGGATAAATGGGTAGGTCCCATTTCAGATCATCAAATAGAAATCAGAAAAGACCCTGGTAAATGTACTCTAGGGGGAAGCTTCCTTGCCCACCCAGGTCAAGGGCCTTACTCATGTTGAGTAAAGCTGACCCCACCAATTTCAATAGCACAGTTTCCAGAGGGACCTGTGGTGGGATGTGAGTAGAGAAAAAAAATCTGGTAACCTTATTGCAGTTGTTGCATTACTCATTGCATATACTGATTAAAACCTCTTCTATTCAGTGATCTCATTTTCCACAGGCAAAAAATTCACCTTTCCCTTGTCATTTCTTTCATTTATGAGGGTATGGCACAGCGTCATTCCTGAACTGGCAGCCACTCCTTTTGGAGGGCCAAATACCCATGCCTTACTGGGTCCTCTTTCCCTTTCCTCTCATTTTATCCTTCTTTTTGGAGAAGTACCAAGTAAAACCATCAAATATAGTCACCATCCCATTTTAGCTGAATCCCCCATGAGGCATAAGCCCTGCACAGCTTTACACACCAGAAGCTGTCTCCCAACACCCTCCAGCAAATCTATGGCTGTTGGTGCAAAGACCAAGCCCCACAGACTTCCCTTGGTACGGTCCGTACCAAAGATGCAGAGGGATGATTTTGGAAATGCTGGCATTGGCAATACTCAGGAAGTTGGGTGCAAAGCTCTAGCAGGTAAAAGCAGAATTGCATGTTGAGTGCATATGTCTACACATGTGGATGCGGGACTGAAACAACTCCCATCACTTTCCTTACGTTCGCATTAATAAGTGGGACAGCGCCTGCCAATTCCATCTCAAGTTTCGTCCCTCTGAAATATGTGCACTTTCACCAGCTGTGTATTTGGCCCAGGGTAATTACTATAGTGCTAATTTTACCAGAGATGATGAAAGCGCTGGAACAGCCTAACCATATAAAGGGAGGAGATACATACAGCTGATCCAGTCTTCTGGATCCTTTTTTGAGCAAAGGAAGTCATGACTTTGACTTGTAGATTTGTTCCTTAGGGAGGCTTCTTCTTACAGAGCTAGCCGAAACCCAACTGAGGTTAGAAAAGAGCAAGGTCAGGGATACTTGTGTGCTGGAAAATAAAAAGCACTGAGCGCTGAAGTGTTGCCTTGTAGTAAATTACCTTATACGGATTAAATTACTCAAATAGATCTGCTTCTTTTCTTTTCTCTCCTGTGAGAGAAGCCACTTCCAGACACCAAAAGCACAAAGATGCTTGAAAGTCTTCTATTTCTCTCTGGACCTTCCAAAAAGATTCAAAGTCAATTGAAATTTCTAATGAGGACTCAGAACAGATATTTACTCTATCCAAACCAGTTCAGCTTGAAAAAATTACAGTATGGTCAGAGGAAAAGCAATTTGCCAGAGCTTGAAGAGTGTGAATAATGCAAAGCAAACAGCTCTCTGCAGTGTTCACTTATGTTTTCAGACCTGCTCACCTTTATTGTGCACCCACCCTGGCTTTACCTGGCGGTGCTGGTGGCCAGAACCAGGGGTGGTGAATAATGAGAGCTGAGCTGGTGGGTGATTTCTAACTTCTGAAAATTTGGAGGATTTTTTTTTTTTTTTTTTTTTTAACAAAGCACACAGGAATGATTGGCGCTGTTG